ACATTTTTATTTCATTAATTATTACAATAACATCAACTAAGACAAAAAAGAACAATGATATAGAACACCCTGCCATGTATCCCATTAATTAATATTGATCTAATTGTTTGCACTGTTTGTTAATTAAAGTGATATAATAAGAAAATTATAATCAAAATTTTAGTAGAATCTTTAGATGAGTATTTTTGTGAAGCTGGAAATAGCAGGAATTGAGCATGCTAGATCGACGCACCTGTTGGTAGATTGTTTTGTTAAGACTGGTGCCCCAAAATTGTTGAGGTTTATCTCCATCTTGTAATAGTTGAACGCTTTTAAGAGATGGTGTATCGATGAGTCCTGGAGAGAATATTTTTAATTTTGGACAGTTTGCTATGATTACTTGATCCAATAATGGAAACCTGAAAGTATAATTGTAGCTGCAAAATCTCTTCAATGCTGGAACCTGATCAAGTTTCAAAAACTTCAGTTTGCAGAAAAGGATTTCCTTATCCTCATCATCCTCTCCTTTTTGCTTCGTTACAATTTCTTCTATCTTTTTACAGTCATTCATCTCCAATGTCTCAAGATTCACTGAACTTTTGGCCATTGAATTTGTCACTAAATAGACAAGCTGGTGACATTTGGACACCTTCAGGACCGTCAAACTATCAAACAAATTAAAGTAGAGGATGGTGCCAATGTAATCAAATTAGAACAGTTTTCAACATGAAGGACTTCTAAATTTTGAATTGTGGGCAGCTGAGAATCATTCCTCCATATGTTCTTGAGCTGATCCATATTGGCAATGTAGAGTTCCTTCGGTAGCGGAATTTTTCCCTTATGATCAACAATGTGTGCATGTGATGGAAATATTTCCTCAAAGGAACTATGTTGCACATGAAGTGCTTTCAGCTGCGGAAATCTTTCAAGCAATGTTATCATTTTATCGACAAATCTTTCAATGCGAAGAATATCCACTTTAGGACAATGGTCCACTGGAAATTGGCCACTCTCATCTAACACCAGCACTCCCGATGCGACAAATTGCTGTAAAACAATTATAGGCAAAGATAGTATTGAGTTATAACGACATCATTTATATTAAAAGAATGATAATACTAAAACATTTTGCCATGCATCCCATTAATTAATTATGCAGTAAGTGTTTGTGGTGTTTTGTAATTAGTTATGTAATAAGAAAGTTATAATTAAAAGTTTAGTAGAATATTTAAACCGTAATATGTATAGGGATAGTTATATTAAATATCATAACAATATAATGGAACTTTTATGGATGAGTATTTTTGTGAAAGCTGGAAATTGAAAGGACTGAACATGCTAGCTGTACGTACCTGTTGGTAGATTGTTTTGTTAAGATTGGTGTCCCAAAATTGCTGACGTTTCCCCGTATCTTGTAACAATTGAACGCTTTCAAGACATGGTGTATCGACTAGTCCTGGAGAGAAATATTTTGAATTTTGGACAGTTTGTTATGATTAGTTGATCCAATAATGGAAACTTCAAAGTGTAACTGTGGCTGCAAAATCTCTTCAGTCTTGGAAGCTGATAAAGTTTCAAAAACTCCAATTTGCCAAAAACAATTTCCCTGTTCTCATCATTCTCTCCTTCTGGCTTCGTGATAATTTCCTCTATTCTACTGCACTGACTAATTGAGAGATGCATGAGATGCACCAAGCTTCGAGCTATTGATGATGTTATCAAAGCGGTCAGCCATTGATTGCATTTCAAGTGGAGATGTGTGAGATTTGGTGAAGAAAGTAAGAATGGTCCCCCAAGTTTTCAGAAAAATATTGCCGATAGTCAATTTTCTAAAAGGAGCAGCAAATGCAGCAACATCGTCTCCTCCAAAAGCGTTCCTCCTAATGCGACCCCACAGCTCCAGCTCATCTAGTTTTGGAAAGCTCTCCCACAATGATTTGTACGAAATTATTGTTGGTGCCATGGGATTAAGATAAAGAAGTTTTACTCTGGGGAAGCGGTGCATTGGAAATTGGCCACTCCCAATCATCTCAGCTTCTTTGCCCCACAATCTTAACTCCTCCAAATTATCAACCTGCACATACATAAATTATCACTAAATGTAAAACTATTTAGTAAATCAAAAGGCATATGTTTTTTTAATGAGAGGTGTCTTCAAATTTAAATTTTGTAGGTACATATTCCATTAGCTTCAAATGTTAATTATGATAAATTAAAATGAATTACTCTTTTTCTAAATATTCCTGTTATAGGGAAAATTCACATATTTAAATACTCAAAAAATATCAAACTCAAGTGCTTTTTATAGGATATAGATTTTAAAAGAAAATAATCTGATGTTTCACTATTTATTTTAATGCTTTTTGCTCTTTTCTTAGCTTATTTTAACAATAAATAACCAATTAAGAGTTACTTTAGAAATGTACCTTGTCATAGGACAGTAGAGGATATTTGAGTCTAGTGTGCTCTCTTCCTCATGTATTTCTGATAAACTTGAGCCTTGCTTTTCAAATATCTCTAGATTATCCCAACTGCAAATAAGTAATCGTTGAAGGTGTGAGCATTCTATCGTGTGTCTATGCGGATAGAAGTTCCTCAAGTTTGGAAGACCAGAAAGCTCAAGGGAAATCAGCTTAGGAAACTTAAATATAGTAGTAGCAAATTCTGAAAATTGATCCTTCGCAACGATCACATCTATACCACAATTAGCTATTTGAAGCTCTTCAAGATCACAAAGCATATCTTTGGCTATAGATGAAGGAAACACACTTGTGAGGCTTTCACAAAAGGAAACATGTATGCTCCTAAGACTTTGGAAGCAGGCATTTCCTTGGCGGTAATTCCTTCACACATTCTTTAATTTTGGCAATTTCCGTAGCATTAACTTTTCAATGGCACAGACATGGATGATGGCACCATCTCATTATCATCATTAAATCTTCAAAGTCAAACACCATCTCCAACAAGTCACAGTCCCTGACTTCCAATTCTTCCAAGTGTTTAAAGATTTCAGCACATGAAGGGGCAGCAATTTCCCAATGCCACAACTTTTCACAATCAATGTTTTCAACTTGCCAAATGAATTATCTGAAAGGTGGTCATCCCATATCCGTGGAATCAAACGGTTTAAAATGGATAATTCCAATGTCTATAACTTTGGGAGTAACACCTGTTGAAAGAAAAATATGATTAAACAAGAATCACTTTTGATCCATAAGCATCTTTTCCGTGAAAGATTGTTTAAATGTCTAGATAAAATTCTCATCTACTTCACAGTATTTTCAAGAAATTACTAAAAGTTCAATTTCAAATTTAAAGTTCATAGTCAAGTTTGAAGTTTTGTAGGAAGTCAAAACAAGAATAATTAAAATAATACGAATATACCTTATTATTGAAAAGTGATTCGAAAATTTTATTACAGTGATTAAACATTAAAACCATAGGCTACATTCATAAATATTCTAATGACAGGAACGGCAATTGATATATTAAAATAGTCAAAAACATCAAATTCACAAGCTTTTTGGTTGTAACACAAATAATTTGAGGCTTCATTATTTATTTTAATACTTGAAGTTAGCTTTTCTCTTTCGTTAGCTCATTTTAATTAATTAAAAAATAAAACTGTAAACTTCCATAATAGCCTAATAGAAAGTAAAAAATCTAATGAAAATGATTTTGGCACATAAGTTTGGAGTTGCGCAAGAAGATAAAGCAAGGGGAAGATATGAATAAAAACAATCTGACCATACCTTCTTGTTGAAAAGTGGTGCGCAAATTTGATTGGATACATTATTTGTTGCAGCTTCATGATGTGCTGAGTTGAAAACAATGTATTGAATATGAAGATGCCTTAAGGAAATCTTCTTCCATCATAACCGTAAAGAACATTTTCAAGCTCATTACATCCATATAAATACAAATCTTCAACTCCTTCCAATAACTTTTGAACCCCTCGCTTCAAATGGATACTACTCTCTATCTCAAGTTTCAATATCTTTAAAGCTTCATAATTGCCTATCCATTCCCAATGCTTACCAATGAATATCCTGTATCTCTTCAAATTCATATCTAAGAACAAGTTTTCTGGCAACATAGAGACATTAGGGATATGAATATCTAGAGAGGAGATTGGCAAATCCTTCAACTCGTCAAGACTTGCATTTTCATTAGCTTCAGCAGATCCTTCAACTTTCCACAGGTCAAAGCTATTTCCCATTTGCAAAACCTCCAAATTTTTCAAGCTAGATAGGAGATTTTGTGGAATGACTTTGAGTTTAGAGCAATGGGACAAATTCAACATTTGTAGAGAAGTCAACTCTGCCAATTCAATAGGTAGCTGTTGAATTTCAGAGTAAGAAAGACTTAGGACCTTTAAGTTCTTCAACCTTCTAACCTCAATTATATCTTCCAGCGAACAAGAGTGTAGACACAATGTTTTTAGCTTTTGTAGGAAACTGAGAAATGGTAGTGACGAAAAACACAAATTGGTAAATGCCAATACTTTCAACTCGTGTGAACAGTTGAAAAACATGCTGGGTATGGTCAAATCAAGTCTTTTGCTATTTAGTACAAAGAATTCCAATTGTGGACCATGCAACTCATCAGGAAGGTCACTAATGTCACTCTCTTGTAAGCAAATTCCCTTGTAGCCTTTTAGCATGTTTTCATCTGGCCATTCATTCAACCTTCTATGTTTCACAATGAATGCAAACAATTCCATGGATGATGCAATAGATAATGCAACATCTCGGATGACGTCATGCATTGTAAAATAATGACTGAAAAGCTATCAAGAAATAAGTTTAATGATTTTAGCTTACTTACAATAGCAGCGATTCCAACATGGGCTTCTTCCATGTTTTCTACGTGCTTAAGAAAATCTAACCCCACAGAGCACATGAGCAGGTCTTCAATTGAGGGATCATGGGACAACATGGCAGCGAACAAGAAAATATGTTCGTACTCTGATGAGCTTAGACGATTGTAGCTCAACTTCAAAATGGTATCCACCTCTTTAGTTAATGTGTGTTTCTCCTCAAAGGATTATTCAATCGTGCAAGGGCATCTTTCCACTCATTTAGATCTTTATTCTTCAATGCCTTGGCAGCTGTAGCAATCATTAGCGGCAGGCCACCACACTTTCGAACAATCGCAATGGCTATAGATGCCAACTCAGGACTACTTGAGTCAACAGAAAGCTCAGCAATCCTCTTGAACAACTCCCATGCTTCATACTCTAACAAAACACCCACTTTGATAATTTCTTGATATTTCATGTCTTTTGACAGCAACATTTCATTCCTTGAAGTTAGTAACATTTTGCAACCTTCAACAAAGGGAATTCCAACTTTGCCCAAATCAAGTTCCTCCCAAAGATCATCCAATATTAGGAGCATATTCTTCTCCTGCTTCAACCTCACACATAGGCGAGCAGCTCTTACATCTTCAGTTTTTTCATTGAGTTGCAAACCCAGCTTCTCAGCAATCTGGCCTTGAATCTTCTCAACGTTCAATTCTTTAGAAACGGTTGTCATGATCACCTTTTCAAACATGTTTTATTCTTTGCTACCTCTTTAACTGTAGTTGTCTTGCCAACACCAGGAAGTCCACACAATCAATCATATTAACATTAGGATTCCGCAATGCCTCCATAATTTGATTCACAACCGGCACTCTTGATTCAATCCCTTCATTACTTTCTCTGGTGATTAATTCTGGGATCACAGGGGGAGGAACTCGATATGAAACTGTATTAAAGTTTCCATTTCCGCAAATTTCAACGACTTGTTGTGCCATTGCCTTTGTTCTCTTGCTTAGTTATAGCGTAGCCATGGGTTGGGATATGAAGTTACGCTACACTCCATTTTTGCTTGACTCTCTTTGTCATGAAACTTTTGTACTTGCTCTGAAATCCGATCTACTCTGCGTAACCAATGAAGAACTTTGTCTTCAATTTGTTCTACATTGTTTGTCGCCTCATCTATTGTATGGAACTTCTTTCATCGATGAGTTCTACAAGTCGTTCATTGAGCTGCTTAATGTTTTTGTGATGCTGAAACAGATAACGAAGCTGCTCCCGTGTTAGGTCGAGCACTAGGTCCCGAAACTTGTCAACCAAACTGCTATGTTCGGCCAGTAATATCCATTTAATTTGTCCCCTGTTAAAAAGATATAGCCAAAACTTAATTACACGTGGTTTGTTGATGCCGAAATAATATTGCACTTCGAACAAAAGTCTCACCTTTTTTCTGGATTAATGAGGACGAAAACTTGATTTTCCCTTTTCTCAATCTTTCTCTTTTCAACCTGCGGAAATGAAAGCAAGAATGAGGTCCTTCGAGATATGATCACGCGTCCCAATGCAGGTGAGGTAAGGTCATAGGCAAGCTTATCACTAAACTATTAGGACATAAATTTATGTTTGTAGATTTACCGTATCCCTGAAGAGAATATTATGTTTTCTTGATTGCTCTGTTGCTACATATTCTGAAAGAGGAGAATATTTTGCAGCAAAAGTTGACGCATGAATTGATTTGCAACCACGATATGATAATTTCTAAAATATACATTAGATCAATTAAACACGGGCTGTCTATGGAATAAATATGTGTATTTTGAACTTACAATAACCGATGTGAAATTTTGCATTTGAGTATGTATAAACTTCAGATCTACCAGCAATAAGAAGCTTTCCCTAGTGTTCCAACACAGATCAATGACGAGACCACTTTTATCTCCCCTCTTTTTATAGTGTTTTAAACACCTTTAAGAAGTAGATGATTCACGCAAATCAAAGGTTTTTAGCAGCAAGACGATGAATTGTAAAAACAGATAGGGAAGCAACATCACCAAAAAACTCGGAAAAAATGAAAGCGGAGGGAATACTATTTGTTTTAGATATCATTAGTGACAAATTCAAAGTGCAGCTTCTTTTTCTTCTTGAAGAAACATCAAAAGACAGCAAATTTAAAAATGATTACAACAAAGGAAAAGTGCCAGCAAAAGTGCAAGAGGAGCAAATTTGGAATTTTTTATTTTTATTTTTTAATGTGAAACAGTGAAAGGAAAACAATATCAGAAAATAAAAAGGAGATTGCAGAAAAAAGAACAAGTTGAGAAATCTGTAAACACAAAAAAAAAAAAAAATGCCAGGAATGCTGTGAGTTACGAAAGAAGACAATGGGAACAAACAAAAATGAAAAGTGCCAAGAAAAGAATTAAGTTCAGAAAAAATTTTCTGCAAAATGAAAAGTGCCGAGACACTGGAAATTTCTGAAAAAGCGCTAAAGAAGCTGAGAAATGAGGAAAAAAACAGAAGGAGAAGTTGAAATTGTAATGATGTGAAACTCTGAAAGAAGAAGCAGATGAAGCTTTGGCAGTAGTAGATCGCAAAGTCCGTCGAGCACAGAGGAGTCAATGATATAGTATGGCAATGACATATGATGAGACCCACAACGATTAAAAAGGAAAAAGAAAAGGAGCGTTAAAGTTACACCTCGTCACAGTTTCAACGAAATTGAATTAAAGTTCAACCAATAATCAAGTTAAATCATAGGAACAAAGTCATTAATTTAAAGTCCAAAGGGACTTGGCTGCAATATTTAGAAACTTAAAAAGACATTCTTGCCCTGACAGGGTAAAAACTTTCCTGTTTTCAAACGAAAAGTGCTCACTGAATGCCCTCTCCATTTCCAAATCATCGCGCATCTTCACCAAAGTTGAGGATTGGTTGCTCCTTCAAAATCATCATCTATGTCTATTAAAGCCGGTGATTGGTGATTCTTCTCTCATTTCTCCCAATTCTGGTTCGATTACTTCACTCTTGACATAACAACTGACTCCAAATCCTAAGCAAACCTTCCTAAATCACTTGACCGTCGTTTGAGTCTTGAAAGTTATCGTCTCATCACTGGAGTAGTTTCAATAGCCTGTTGCCAGAGTCATTTAAATCAAGTCATTGATGGAGTGGTTGAGAGTGAAGCTCGTCGTGATTTCTGCCAATCTTCGC